AAGTCTCCATCCTTCTCCAGATCGCCAGGCCCGGAAGAGGGTCCATCGCGAGACCCAAACTGAAATGGCGCCGCAATCACACAAGATAGCTCGGCCTCTGCCAACGCCGCTGCCTATTCCCGACGATGTTACCGAAGATGTTCTGTTGAGACTGCCAGTAAAGTGTTTGATTCGATTCAGGTGCGTTTGCAAATCTTGGAATGCCCTAACAAGAGATTCCTCTTTTGTCAACAAGCACTTGGCAGAATCAGTAACAAACCCCAAACTAACTGAAGCAAGGGTCTTGTTGAGCTGTTGTAGTAGATTGAATGAATACACATTCAAAACCTGTTCCCTTTACTCCTTGTTGAATCAACCCTTTACTGATCCTGATGCTTTTGATTTCATTTACCCGTTTTGGTATTTTTGGGGTCGTAACAGGATTGTGGATTGTTGCAATGGATTGATTTGCATGACCACTGACTACGGAAAAGTGATTGTAGTTAACCTAGGTTTAAGAGAAATTAATAAGTTGCCAGGTTATTTTCCTGGTGTATTTGGGTTTGGTTATGATTCTTCTAACAATGATTATAAAGTGGTATGTAAAGACACTTATACAAGTCTAAGGGTGTATTCGTTGAGGACTAGTTCTTGGAGGACTCACGATTATGCATTTGATCTTCCAGATGGTGGTAGTAATAGTGCATATGTTGGTGGTACTTTGAATTGGCTGGTGAGTTGTAGAGAGCAGATTGTTTCAATTGATTTAGCAACTGAGACTATTATGGAGGTATTGCAACCTGATTATGGAGATGGTGTGAAACAAGGAAAGTTGGGGTTTGGGGTTTTGGAAGGCTGCCTCTGTGTGGTTTGTGATAATTCTAATCAGTATGCTGATGTTTGGATTATGAGACAACATGGAGTCAGAGATTCTTGGACTAAGATGGTCAGCATTCGATACCCACTCAACCTTAAGAATTCATTTCCTTTGTACCCATTATTTATTTCAGAGAATGGCGAAATCCTATTCCAGTGGCACTTCACGATGACCATATACAATACAAAAGAGAATTCATTTAGGGCTCCATTGCTTCCTGATTTTTCACCACCTGCTTGTTCTGTAGCAGCTAGAATCTACTCTGAAACCCTGGTTTCGCCTACTGCTGCCGATTGGAACTGAACAACACACCACTAGCATAACACAAGGCAAATAGCAGAGCAAGACTGCAAGAGTAGCCTATAGCATGGAGGCCTGGTGGTTGTGACTGCTCCTATTCATTTATATTTCCAGTCAAAAGGAAACTTTCTTCTAGTTCTACGAATTGTATTGAACTTCATTTATACATTTCACCATCCTTTTATTTTATTGATGATACTGCTTTTGTTTTGGCTAATAGCTTTAGTCTTTGTTGTTGCATTTCTCTTTGGTGGATACTGGATAGTATTTGTTCTAATGATCTTTGAAATTTAAGAATTCTGGTACAAATTTTCAAAGCTTAGTGATGTTCCAAAAATGGCAGACCCTTTATACGGTAAACTCTTTTCAATCTTGTTGATGGTCAGAATTAGAGGATCACACACAAAGCGAATCAAAAAGCTTGAAAAGAAAAAAAATACTTTGATGGCATAGGTATTACAAGTTTATGAAAAGCGTTACATACATCAAAATAAGAGAAACTGCAGATCTTACGAACTGTCATGAACTTAAACCCAAAATTCCAGTGTCTGTAAGAATGCACTCTACCTTCTATGTCTTCTACAGCTGCTCTCACTTTCTGTGTTAAGTCTATGAAAATGTATAAACCTGTCATCAAAAGCGTAAGTTGCATAACATCACTATATTCTTCTCCTCTTGTTATCTGAAGAAGTTCCTTCCACCTGCCTGTCAGCATACCTCTCAACATTATAGAACCTGTTACGAACTTCAGCTGCAAGGACTTGAACAGACTCGTCCCCAACGCAATGTTTTCCTGCATTTTGCAGCTCTGGTATTATAACTGGAAGAGAAATATTCTTGTGCAGTTTGGCAAATTCAATAAATCTATCCCATGACAAAATGTCCAAAGCAATCTTCGCCACATCCACGTCTGAACCTGTCAAGCCCTTGGCAATCCGTCGAAACAGAAGCTGAGCACTAGATTTAGTGATTTTTTCAAGCCGAGCGCTATTCATCAGGGATTTCAGTTCATCCAAGAGACAGAGCTCAGAGGTAGGTGGTATCGGATCGCCACTCAAAATACCTTCAAACATCATATTAGCGAGCTCGCGGTCCTTGTTTAAAAAGTCTAGCATGCTCACGTTTAAGCTCAGACTGTAGTCAGGGTAAGCATGGGTCTTGTGCAGGGGAATCAGAATCTGCTGAATGAAGAGTTTGTGCCCATCTTTCAGTGGCAACGGAAGCTCGCGAATCCGCTCACTAGCGAACCGCAGCAGATCGGTCACCGCACTTGGGATGTGGCGATGCCTGGAGGAGACAAAACGAGACAGATTGCGTCGTAC